CTCTGGGTCCAAACTGTTACACTTCTCGTTAACTCGGGATGGTGGTTTGATCAAACATTGACTGCCTTCAGCAACCTGAAGTACCAGTGAACTCGTCGGCTCTGCGAAGGGTGCACATCAACGTGAGTACACACACAAATCGCAAGAGCCTTTTAGGCCGCTGAGGTCATGGACTCTCAAGCGAGTTGCTTTTCAAGATGGTGGAGTGTGCAGCTATCTTGCCAGATGAAGGGGGACAAATCCAGAGTTGTACTAACAGGATGATGACGAAGAGTAGGACTAGAGTGTTGATTTACAACACAATTCTTCTCTGTACATCTTGAGAGAGAGAGAGAGAGAGAGAGGGGGGGGCGAACTGCGACTTGGCTGACTGCCCATTCTGCGCTGATGTGTGTGCGAGACGACTGACCTCTCTATGCCACTCGACTAGCCTTAAGTGAACTTCACACAAGACCCTAGAAGGTGACTAAAGGTGCTCAGATTTGGCTTCTTAAAGAGCCTTTGCGCTCATGCTTTCTCTCCCAAACCTCCACTCCACACTCAAACAGCTTTTGCACAATTCTTGTTTTTTTTTAGCACCAACTCTTGACGTTGATTGGAAGTCTGTCAACACCTTCGCCTCCTGCTCCACAGACACTAATATCCACGTCTGTCAGCTGGACAGGAAGACCCCCATAAAGACATTCCAAGGTCATGAGGTGAGTTCACACTGACCGGAATGCGTTCGTTTTTCATCGCCTGACGCCCTGATTTTCTTTGCCAATTTTACTTTAAAGAAAAATGAGAGGGCGAGATGCCTAAATCGCAAGTACCAGCTGTTGGCTAGCGCTGACTGGTACCACTGCTCGTCTACGACATAGGTGGTGAGTGTTAATTGAGATTGGCAGGCTCAGGGTGCAGACTAGACACACACGCACACTTAAACCAGACTAATGACAATGATGCGGGGGGGGCTCACTGTCTGCCACGTATTGTCTTCGTGACTGGCTATCTGTAACTGCTGTGCTGGATCCGTACCCTACCACGCCCGAGCGTTTTGCTGCGCTCACCGACACGAGATCGGGCATGTTTA